TTTACATACAGGCGCAGATCCAGGATTTCTTAGAGGGGGGGGGGGGGGCAATTTATTTATTTTTGCTCCCGCACATTTGAAAATCGTGAGAGGGAGATAGAAAGAGAGAGAGAAATAGAGAGAGAGAAAGGGTGGGAAAGAGGAAAGTGGGAGTGAGATATTGTTTTCTTGTTTTAGTTCTTTGAAATGTGGATATTTTTTATATATTTTTATTCATTGGATTTTATTTCTAAAAACTACAATTTTTTTCTCACAATTCATGAATTTAAAGTAAAATATATTACAATTACATTTTTCCATACAACACAGTTATTTCATGAGTAAAAACATGGATACGCCTTGATTAGTTTAAAAAAAAAAAAACTAAGTACTCTTTTAAATTTTTTAATTTCTCAACATAAAATGATACAGAATATAACTTTGTTTTTCTTCCCCTTATTATTTATTATCATCTCTATCAGTTACATACTAGCAATCGATTACAGAGCTTAAATATTTCTTCGAATTTACACAAAATTGATATAAAACATCTTTTTATTTTAGTAGTACTGATAATTTTCTAATCAAGACACAGGTAACTTAACAAAAAAAATTGTATTGAAAAACTGAAAAAATATTAATACAGCTAAATGCCACTTTTTAAAGGTTTGACCAAATTATTTTGGTAACTGGGTTTATTATACTTTAGTATTGTTTAAATTTGATTCACCTTCTACCTCCATTGAATAAAAAATGTAATTAAAATAATACATTATATTTTGGCACAGGAAGCGATGATGAATTGCCTCCGTACATTCTGAGTTGTATGTAAAGAGTTAAGTTTCGTTTCGTTTTCTCCTCCTTCTCTTCTTCTTCTTCCCTTTATTTTTCTTATAATCATACGAGAAATCATGTGCAGTATTTAGCAAACAATTTTTCAGGGCAGAGGTCAGAGGTCAGAGGTCCTAACTCGGCGAAGAGAGGTCGGTCCCGAAACTAAACACTCGAACATAAAGTATGAAACATTTCACGAAAATTTGCATGGAATAGCCACATTTATAACATCTTTTAATAATCACTTTGTTTTAAACAACGACGCACAATATTATGTAATATTGGAACTAAACGTAATTTTCAATAAAGGTCTCTAGGAGGGTGATAGTCAATTGATATGTAAAAATGTAATATCTTCATTTGGTATAAAATAGCATAATTAGGCCTCATTGTCGTGAGAACGTGCATGTTTTACGCGTGACAACATTCACATTCGAATCATTTTTAGCGCTAAAAATTACCGAAGGAGACTAATTTTGTCCGTGTCATTTGTATATGCAGGGAGGGGGAGGGGGCTTGGATACTCTGATTTGGTTTGGACAGAGGTGTGCGGCTGAAGCGTAGTAAACCCATACTCAAAGGGTCATTCTGGCAGGAAATGGTAACCATTATTAGGGACCTCCATTCAAAACGCATCCCTTGTTTTGCCGTTATCCATTTGCATGATTTACACTTTCGCTTACCTTAATCCTTCAATTTACATACAGGCGCGGATCCAGGGTTTCTTAGAGAGAGGGGGGGGGGGGGGCCATTTTTTAATATTTTTTTTTGCTCCAGCAAATTCAAAAATCGCGCCGGCCGAAAATTCGCTCAGTGGGGGGAGGTAGTGAGCACTAAATTCTTTTGGGGGCAGGGGGGAACGTGCCCCCTGTGCCCCCCCCCCCCCTAGATCAGCCTCTGACATAGTCATAACTTTCCTAGTGTCAGCTGTTTGTTTTCCCTCTAATTTATTCCAGACGTTGCACCCTTCCTTGTACTGCCCATCCAGCCTCTTTAGCTTTTTTTAAAGATTTGATTTGATTTGATTTGATTTATTTATTTCTGTTTGATTTTCTTTTTCTTTTGCATTTTTACAAATATATAACAAACAAATATTGCAAATTTACACATGACAAAAGAATATATGTAGAATAAGGTAAGGCTGGGTGTAACTAATCGAGAACATCAAACAGGAGGGTTGACAAAATAAGCAAAGCTTGATAGTAATGACTACCCTCAAAGGATACATAATAATACAAATTAATATGGAGGAACAAAATGTTGGTAAAAAGGGGGAAAAGACAGAAAAAAAGAAGAGAAAAGAAAGAGGGGATGCACATTGATATTCACAGACTTATGTGGTAGTTGGATTTCAAATTAATATATAAAGATTTTAAATAAGAAAAGAAATTCAAAATGTGAATACTGAGTGGCCAACCAAAACCCATCGGTTTGTAACGACGAGGACTTTGAATGTAATACCGAAATGCCCGTATTTCAATGTTTTTTGGCGGGATTTTGCATCTGGAATTTTCAATTTATGGGTGAGATATTATCCTGAACAAAAATAGTTTAAGGCCAAGTTCTGAAAAGGGGGGGGGGGGCACTTTTAGGGATTTTTCGGCACAAAATCATACCGCATGTTTACGGAAATGATACTAGAAGATGAGAGAGATGATAGAGAGAGTGTGTTTGTATGTGTGTGTGTGAGAGAGAGAGAGAGAGAGAGAGGGTGAGAAAGAGAAAGAGAGAAAGAGATAGAGAGAGAAATAGAAAGTGGGAGGGAGATATTGTTTATTAGTTTTAGTTCTATGAAATGTGGATTTTTTTTATATATTTTTATTCGTTGGATTTTATTTCTCAAAACTACAATTCTTGTCATCACTAATTTCGATAAACAAACACAATTCATGAAAGTAAAATCTATTACAATTACATCAACATATTTCCTTATACAACACAGTTATTTCATGACTAAAAACTAGAATAAGCCCTGCTTAGTTTTACAAATGAACTAAGTACTCTTTGAAAATTGATTTTCAAAATTCTCAACATATAATGATGCTGAATTTAACTTTGTTTTTCTTCCCTCTTATTATTTATTATCATCCCTATCAGTTACATACTAGCAATCGATTACAGAGCTTTTACATTTCTTCGAATTTACACAAAATTGATATGAAACATCTTTTTTTTTTATAATACTGATAATTTTCTGAACACGACACAAGTTTCTTTTTAAAAAAAATTGTATTGAAAAACCGAAACAAAATATTAATACAGCTCTATGCCCTTTTTTAAAGGTTTGACCAAATTATTTTTGTAACTGGGTTTTTTGTGTTTTTGTATTATTATTACCTGATTCTCCTTCAATCAGTTGAAATATTAAACTTAAAAGAAAAATTCTTATCAGAATAACACATATTTTGGCACAGGAAGCGATGATGAATTGCTTCCTCTCTTCTTCTTAATCCTACACAATATCTTGTGAAAACTTCTAGGGCAGAGTTCAAAGGTCATAACTCGGCGAAGAGTAGTCGGTCCCGAAACTAAACACTCGAACATAGATTGTGAAACGGAAGAAAAAAACAAATTGCATATAAATATGCATGAATTAGCCAAAGTTAGAACATCTTTTGAATCACTTTGTATGAAACAACCACGCCCAATATTATGTAATATTGGAACAAAACGTGATTTTCAATAAAAAGTCTCTAGGAGAGTGACAGTCATCGATATATAAAAATGCAATACAAATTAGCATATGGCTAAGCCTCAATATCGTGAGGACGTGCAGGTTTTACGCGTGACAAGATTCACATTCTAACCATATTTAGCACTAAAAATTACTGAAGGAAACTAATTTTGTCCGTGCCATTTGTATATGGCCCGAGAGAGACCGTGGGTAATCAGATGAGTGGACGATGAGGGGTCGGGGGGGGGGGGGTGCGGCTGAAGCGTAGTAAACGATTATTAATGGTCATTTTGGGTCAAACTGTTGGAAAGGCACCCATAAATCCATGGACTATGCACCCGGGTGTCAAATGGGTACCCGGTAGGATGCGAAAGCTAATGTGGTTTGATTAGCAATGGCGCTTGTAGAATGGCGACTGGCTGGAATGCTCCCCAGGGAGTGGAGAATGTGCATCCTTGTGTGCGGGTAAGCATAAAACCGATGACCGGGGTAATCTGTAAAGCGCATTTAGAGGGCCTGCGGTCCTGAAATGCGCTATATAAGGACGAGCTATTATTGTTATTATGATTAATATGCATGCCTCCCCCCCCCCCCCATCAATTGTTGTTAAAACAAATGAGAATTAGGAAAGAAAATGTTTTTCATTTTGGACGTCGACCATGTGACCCTGTGTTAGAGAATACGCTTAGTAACTTACTTTTAATAGACTGAAGCAGAAAAATCAGACAAACCAATCGAAACAAGTTTGAGCAAAATCGGATAACTAATAAGAAAGTTATGAATTTTGGAAAAAGTATTTTAAAAATCACAAGACAAATTGGAAACTCACTCATGAGTCTGTGACGTCATGTCCTGATTGTCCCCACTATCCACTTATTGTTTTCTTTTTCTTTTTTAAATTAAATCAGAAATACATCCATTTTAGAAGTGTTTTTGTGTTCTTTTTCTAAAAAAATAAAAATAAAAATAAAATAAAAAATGGGAGACGGCCCCCAAAAAGGAAGCGGGCGGGGACGCTAAACATGTATATTTCTTTTAATGGCCTAATGGGATTAACCTATAAAGCAATTTGTGTAGTGTATAGTTTTACCAGGGTACCTCCCTGGTTTTACATACTTTTTCAAAAATTCATAACTTTCTTATTAGTTATCCGTTTTTGATCAAATTTCTTTTGATTGGTTTGTCTGACTTTTTTGCTTATAATGACACTGATTTATTTTTGGAGTATTCTCTTACACAGGGTCAGATGGTCGACGTCCAAAATGGCAAATGTTTTCTTTCCTAATTTTAACACAAATTGAGGGGGGGTAAAAATGCATGCAGTGCATAGTCCATGGATTTATGGGTGTCTTTTCAACAGTTTGATCCTTCATAAACCTTTCACAAAGTCTAAAATATGATTTAAGTTTCATTTTGCAAGGGCAATTAATTATAAACATTTTTTTAAAGAAAAAAATATCCCCCAGCCGTGCGGCCCAACGATATCAAACAAGAGAGGGCGTTTGTCCACAAAACGTTCTTTTTGATCAAGACGTATAAGAGTGGTTTGTGCAACTTTTCGGTCGTTTCCAGAATCGGATTCATCCGACACTTCCACTTCTATATTTCGACGTAAAATCCACCTCAAATTGAAGAATCATGCCTCCCAAGTTCGATCCTAACGAAATTAAAATCGGTAATTCTCTATTAAGGATTTTATTGAAACTTCAAAATGGACTGTAACATGCAGATATTTTTTTTTTGTCTCCTCGTTCCCATATATCGAAATCCATGTCTATCCTAAAATAGCCCCTAGATTTACCCAAAATTAAGTAGAATATTCAAATTAAAAAATTCAAATGTCCAAATAAAGGTCATGATTTAAAAGTCGGATGTTTGTTACCTGTCTCGTGTCAATTTTCTTATCTTTTTCGGAGTATTTTCCCTAAAAACAAAGACTTGTAAATTCTATGCACTTTCTGCAGCATACATGTAGATCTCTAATTCAATTGCATACCGTACCGACGGTGGGGTGCGCGAGTGTGTTAATTAAGTTAGCGACTGTAATATTAGTTTACGTTTGCTAACTTACATCTGTTTTTCTTCCGCCCAAAATATTAATGAATTATAACTTGCCAATTCTTGGGACCAACTCAATATTCTTTTAATGATGGTTCCTTCTTTATTTTTATCAATTGATTTTAATGTATTTTGCTTTTTACCCCTGAAATGCTTTGTAGACTATATACATGTATATTGTTTGCATGTTTTTTAAACTGAAGAAAGAATAATGCTGGAACTGTGTCTAGATCTATGTATAGCCAAAAATATGGGTTGAATAATTGTAACCAAAAATGCACGCTCGTACAATAGATTGTTTATTGAATATCATGTGACCAACAATCCTCCAATCAAATGACAAGGCTCTACTTAGATGTTATATAACGCAACCTAAACGCTAAAATGGAGACGGTCCTTTCATTCATATTTCGAACTTCGATCAAAGGGTAGAGAGAGAAAGGGGGGAGAAAACGGACTTGAACAAGAGTGAAAAATTATTTGAAAAATTCTAAGGGTTAACAAACAGTGATATGATATGCACAGAATATTCATAAAATGTTACTAAATATAACTTATCAGTGTCTACTTATTTTGGGTTTTCTTTTGTTTTGCAGTCTGCCTGAGGGCTGTAGGAGGTGAGGTCGGAGCAACCTCAACCCTCGCTCCCAAGATCGGTCCCCTTGGTCTGGTAAGTCACAAACTTTTTCTTCTTTAATATCTCTCTTGTTTCTTCTTTTTCTTTCTTTACTTATTTGGAACTCTTAAAGCCATGCTGTCCTACTTGTAGCTACTTGCTCCCTCTATATAGCAAACAATGCCTAATCGGTGACCATTGGTCCCCCATGATCCTCTTTTTCTTATGTTAACTGAGAGCTGAGTTGATGAGATAGCCACCTGTCCAGTGGCCTTGCAGGGCGGTCTAATCCCTCCTATAAACTAGTACAGATAAGCTTTACAGAGAAGGTTGAGTTCTGAGGAGATACGAAAAATAATTTGTGAGCGTTGTCATTGTTATATTCTGCAAGTGTGGAAGAACATGATCAGAGTAAAATTGTTCCCTGAAGAGCATGGCTCTTCAAACGCCTTCATACATATTCTAAATATGACAAGTAACAGCTTAAAAGTTATGCCAGATTTTTATGCCACATGTTTGTATAATTCCATTTCTGTGTACAGTGCTTGTTACTTTACCAAAACCATGGCAAATTTCGTGTAATTTTGATGACTCCAGAACCTTGCAGTGAACACCATTACTAATACTATATATGCTAGATGATCAACCTTTTCTGATCGATTCCACACCGTTTCTACCACAATGCAATGGCATGACCAGAACTCGACTTTATCTTTAAACGTATTTACATTGGTTAATGATATGCAAAGTACAGGTTTATGAACGAAATGGCAAATACAAATATTCAAAAATGTTGCCTAGTTTTACCATGTTTAGCAGCAATCACATACTCTTATTTCTATCCTTGGTTGATAAAAGAGAGAAGATGTTGAAAATTGGGTTTGTCTTTCTGAAAACTACACAAATCTGCAGAATTTTCCTTTTTTGATAGTTCATTATTGAAGGAAAAAAATATTATCTAAAGTCAAGATCATAATTGAGAGACCAATGGTGAGAACAACCAGTGGCATGAATGGCCTGCCATAGTTAAGTCCAACTTACAGTCGATCTTAGTCTTTGTGAAACACTCCCCCCCCCCCCCCCCCCTCGATATAACGAGGTAATTTCCTTGGTCCTCATGACCTCATTATTACGAGATTCCACTGTACTCTCTTTGTCTTGTTTACTCAGTCACCTAAGAAGGTAGGAGATGACATCGCCAAGGCCACCCAGGAATGGAAGGGGCTGAAGATCACCGTCATGTTGACCATTCAGAACCGTCAGGCCAAGGTCAGCGTGGTGCCCAGCGCATCATCTCTCATCATCCGTGCCCTCAAGGAGCCCCCTCGTGACAGGAAGAAGGTCAAGAACAGTAAGTCCAATCTCTCCAGTAGTCTTAGTCTGCACCGAGTAGGTGTGATTAAATGGGTTGGTATTTGGTTTATGTTGAATATCATCGTCATTTGACCTTAAGACTGTCGAGCCAAGGTCAGCGCATCCTCACTGATCATCCAACCCCCTCGTGACAGGAAGAAGGTTAAGAACAGTAAGTCCAGTCTTAGGGGTGTTTCACAAAACTTGTCTTTAGTGACAAATGACAGTTTTTGTTATAAGCTACTGAAATCCTTGCTTCTGATTGGTTATCAGCAGATTTGTCACTGATTTTTGTCATTTGTCATTGAAAAAAGGCTTTGTGAAACGGGTCCCAGGTCTTGTCTGCACTGGGTAAGTGCGATAATTGGGTTGGTATTGAGTTTATGTTGAACATCATTGTTGTGTTGACCATTCAGAACCGCCGGGTTAAGGTCATCGTGGTGCCTAGCGCATCTTCACTGATCATCCGTGCTGAAAAGGAACCCCCTCGTGATAGGATAGGAACAAAGGTTGAGAACAGTAAGTCAGACCGTGATTCTGACTCAAATTTTAGTCTCGCCCGCTCACTGTACATGGAAGTAATTGAATTGATGCTGAGGTTGGGATGAAGATCATGGTAATGTTGAAGAGCCTGGAGTGTTGGTGCATCATTTTCTATCAAACATGCCTTTGATAAACGTCCTCTATCATAACACTTGTGCACGTTCATGTGTTGTAATGGATGAATGGATTACAAATATTGGGAATGCTATATCCTAGATGCTATAGGGCCATTCCATGAGAAGAAGGACATGACATCAAAAAAAGAAATGTACCTCTTATGTTAATTCTTTGATTTATCACTAACCTTATGCCATGGATGTTCATAAAACATTAGGGCCTTTCAAATTCAAGACAATTTTTTTTTCATTTTTGTTGATTTCCTAAGATCTCAAACTATCATCAAAAACGTACATGTGGGACTGTAGCTGAAAAAAAAACAATTTATTGCAGATTACACAGGATTCTTGTAATATTTTTTCCTGAAAATTTCGCTAAATGGAAAAAGATGAATATATTTCCATATTCTAAGGGGTCCTGTAATATTTAATCTATTACATAGGGGTGAAAATGGCCTCCGGACAAAATGTAACGCGAGTTACCGTAACGTGAGTTACCGACATATTTGCTTCCTGCATTTTACTAGTCCATTGTTTCTTATCTTTAATATTATGATCTTATACTAGTAAGTCACAACCTACTATCAAATTAAAATAGGAAAGATTTTGTCAAGATTGTCTAGTATGAGGAGAAAAGAGGGTCTCGTAGAATTGACCATGTCCTTTTTTTGTAACGCGAGTTACCGAAATTCAATAATCCAAGAATCTAAAAATGTTTGTTCTTCAATTTTCTTTTTTGTTTCATTCAGTTGTTCTATATCTACCCTGTCCATGTTTGAAAAAAAGTATCTTGTAGATCCTAGCAGTTCTAAAGATATAGGCACATTATCGTGTCAATGTACCCATTAAGTGTAACGCGAGTTACCATGGAATGGCCCTATAGGCACGGGCGTCGCTAGACCTTTTTTCAGTGGGGGGGTATAGAGGCCACCGATTACCGACAAAATAACCTAATGTCTACAAATTTAATCCTATAAACCCGGGGCTAGGATCTAAATAATTTTTCAGTTTCCCCCTCGCAGAAGCTTTGACATCTCATTAAATTATAAAAGAAAGAAGACGATTCATTGTACCATTCTTGACACTAAATCCTAGTCTGACGGTTCCCTACTCTTAATTCTTGTTTGAATTAAGTTTTCCGCACGAAGGGCAGAAGCTTTGACTTTTCATTAAATTATTACTCGTAATACTTGTATGAGTTCATTTTCGCACAAGTGCGGAATCTTTGACATTTCATTGAATTATTAGAGAAAGAAGACAATTCGTTGTAGGCCTTCTGTTTTCGACTCTTAATCCTTGTCTGAATTCAGTTTCACCCCCGTGCGGAAGCTTTGACGTTTCAATGAATTATTATAGAAAAAGAAGACGATTTGTTGTACCGTTGTCTACTCTTAATTCTTGTCTAATTCATTTTCGCCCGGAAGCTTTCACGTTTCATTAAATTATTAGAGAAAGAAGACGATTCGTTGTAGGCCTCCTGTTTTTTACTCTCAATCCTTGTCTGAATTCAGTTTCCCTCCCGCGCTTTGACGTTTCATTACGATTCGTTGTAGGCCTTCTGTTTTTTACTCTTAATCCTTGTCTGAATTCAGTTTCCCTCCTCCCGCGCTTTGATGTTTCATTATTAGATATTATTGTTGTTATTACTGTATCAGACGTACTTTATCTAGCAAATTGTAGGAATGTATTTTTACGAGGAAACCTCCACTTTTCTTTTTTTCCCCCCTTGCTCAGTCTCTCACAGCGGGAACATCGGCCTGGACGTCATCATTGAGATCGCCAAGACGATGCGTGAGCGTTCCATGGCCCGTGAGCTGAAGGGAACGGTCAAGGAGGTCCTGGGAACCGCCCAGTCTGTCGGATGCACCGTGGACGGGTCAAACCCCCATGACATCATCGAGCAGATCAACGATGGAGCCATCGAGATCCCTGCCGTAAGTTTGGAATAACTTGTTTGTTAATTCTAAATATATTACGAATTGGTTAGTAAGAAACCAGTTTCGAAAATAATATCGCTAGTGAAATTCGTTTGTCTCACAATGTATGGTCAACAAGGGATCAAAAGATCACGATGTTTCATGCGCCGCTGCACCACTCCGTCAGGTTAAAATATATTGTCGGCAAGCGTCTTTTATACTCTACGAGTTGACCGGCGGTCAAATAATTTGATCATTAATTAGAACAATAACGGTCAAGGCCTATTGGCCGAAGTACATTTTTAACGTCCTGATCTTTTGGTCCCTTGTTGACCATACATTGTGAGACAAACGTATGTCACTAGCAATATTATTTTCGATGCTATATCCGCAATGAGTAATATATTTAGCATTAACTTGTTTCTTACTAACCAATGCTAAAAGGTTGCAAAGGAAGATTGAGGGGGTTTAACGGTTTAAGATATCATCGAGCAGATCATCGATAAAGCGATCGAGATCTCTTCTGCTAGTTTGAAATAACTTGTTTCTTACTATTAAGCAATGCTAAAAGGTTGGAAGGGGAGATGGAGGGGTTTAACGGTTATAATATCATCGAGCAGATCATTGATGGATAGATCAAGATCCTTGTTATTAGTTTGAAACAACTTTATGTTTACAAGCCAATGCTAAAACGTTGGAAAGGGAGATTGAGGGGGTTGAAGAAATCGTTGAGCAGATCATCGATGGGGAGATCAAGATCCTTGCTATAAGTTTGAAAAACCTTATTTTTGACTAGCTAATGCCAAAGGCTTGGAAGGGAGAGGAAAGGAGAGGGGGCTTATGATATTATTCAGCAGAAGAATTATTTCTCCACATGCCTTGGTAATGAATTAATTAAAGATTTAATGACATTCCTTGATGATAAATTGGGGGGGGGGACCCTCGCCACATGCTTTTGCATTTTAATGACATTCAATAATGTTGTATTGCACCAACTGCACTGCTAGTAAATAAAATCCTTCTTTATCCTTTTCTCTCATCTGCCTTATAGGAATGATCTGGATGTCCAGCTTACACGTACAGGCAAAGGAGACATGATTCTTTAGTTCGACTCCAGCAATCAACACCTACTGCTGTGAATGTGTGATTAAAGGATTCTCACAAAAAAATTGCAAAACTCTGGTCGTTGTGTAATTCTGTAAAGTGTATATTGCTCACCAGGGGGGTGTTTGACGAAACCGTTTTAAGTACAAGTTCACCCCCGTCCCATTGAAATGAATGTATTAATTTTAACACCAGTTTCAATGGGATGTTAGTGAACTTGTACTTATGACGGATTTGTGAAACACTGCCCTGTATGACACATGCTTCTGCGATGATTGGTCCATGCCCGATATCCTGTATTTCTTTTAATCCAAAAACATCACTTGAAAATTTTAGAAATTTGGTAAAGACAGCCTTTTTTGCAGCGATAAAATGAAGCAAGCTGCAGAAATTAGTGTCTTGTCAATTAATATGTGATTTTGTATCACATGGCATAAAACTATTGTGAATCGTAACCACTCCCACAATACGAAAATGTTTAGTGCGCAAGAAAGTTATTGGTTTTTACAGTAACCGACTTTTAACTTCAACTAAACATCGCAATAGACTTGTATCTTTGATAAAGTAAATGCAGGAGCGGTTTCGCTGGAGCACATGTTTGTTGAAACTAAACAAGTAATTTTGTTGGAATTTTTAGGAAGTTGGAGAGAAAGCGGATCTGACAAAAAGAGAGAAATGGAACGAGAGAGACAGACCAACTGAGATAGAGAGAGAGTGAGAAAAAATGGAAAGAGGGTCTGACCGAGAGAAAGAAAGAACGGCTAGCAAAAAGAGAGAGTAGGGCAGACATACATGGAGAAACGGACCAATTGAGAGAGAGAGAAAGAAGAAATGGAAAGGGGATCTGACCAAAGAAAGAAAGAGAAAATGAGAGAGAAGGGCAAATGGAAATGGATAAAGTCTGTTACATACCGAGAGAAGGATCAACTGAGAGAGAGAGAAACAAAATGAAAGAGGCTCTGACAGAAAATTAGAAAGTCTCCCAGAAAGAAGGAGAGAGTAGGGCAGGCAGAAATGGAGAAAGACTGGTAGGTACACAGAGAGAGAGAGAGAGAAAAAAAAAATGGAAAGAGGAAGCTACTGATACAGAGAGAGAGAGAAAGACAAAATAGAAAGAGGATCTGACGGAAGGAAAGAAAGAGGAAATGAGAAAGAAGGGCAAATGGAAATGGAGAAAATATTCACAGCTGGTATTTAATTTCGAAACTCGTAATATTTGCGGCAGGGGGGAGGGGTTGTTCTTTTTTACCCATACATAAAGTTAAGTCGATATGCACGTGCAAACAAAATGTTCCCCGAATAAGTTTCGCACGACCAATATCAGATGAGAATAAAAAACACCTCAAGATTACATGCCATGGGTTCATGTATATATTTTTGTTAAAGACCGTCAACACTACTGGGCCAGAAGGGATTACACTACACAGCGAGGTCACTGACAGGTGGCTATCTCATTAACTCAGCTCTCAACTAACATGAGAAAAAGAGGATCATGGGGGACCAACAGGCACCGATTGGGGAAGTTTTCTATATAGAGGGAGCAAGTAGCTACATGTAGGACAGTGGGGCTCTAATACTAAATTGAGTATCTCTAATATTTAAATAGCAGTTGTGAATATTTTCTCACCATAGATTGAATACTAAATTATAACCATGAATACATATGCTGCCGTCGACATAGTATTACACCGTGACAGTGGGGACTTTTAGATTCGCACGAAGACGATGGGGATTGCTACGATCGACGTCCTTTTAATGCACTGCCTTGAATGGACGTCACACGTATCAGTCCACGCATATCTAAAAGTCCCTAATTTTAATGACGGTATTGATTATCGTAATCTTGCAATAGAAAAAGAAGCCTTTCGGTATAATAGTAGGCTACTCGTATGATTATCCATTCCACAACTAGCGGGCCTTCACTGTGGCATAATGTGAAATTAGTCAGGTGGCTTAGCGTCAAATTCATCGATTATCGTTACTTGCCGACTATTCCTAAGGAATTTGAGGGTGTGGGGCGGGGCGTCTTTTTGGAGCCCCCAAATAATTTTATAACATTGATTTGTTGTATAAATGCCATTTTTGATACAGGGCTTCCCAAATACCTACTGAACGATATTAGGGTAGGAGCCCCGGCAAAATTATCATATAAGGGTGTGGGGCGGGGGGCGACGCCTCGTAGTCCCCAAGTAATTTAGGAGGTAATATAACATTTATTTGTTGTACAAATGCCATTTTTGATACAGGGCTTCCCAAATACCTACTGAACGATATTAGGGTAGGAGCCCCGGCAAAAATATTATATAAGGGTGTGGGGCGGGGGCGACGCCTCGTAGTCCCCAAATAATTTAGGAGGTAGTATAACATTGATTTGTTGTTGTACAAATGCCATTTTTGGTACAGGGCTTCCTTAGGACCTACTGAACGATATTGGGGGTAGGAGCCCCGGCAAAAATATCATATAAGGGCGGGGACGTCGCCTCGTAGCCCCCAAATAATTTCTGAGGTAGTATAACATTGATTTGTTGTTGTACAAATGTCATTTTTGGTACAGGGCTGCCTTAGGACCTACTGAATGATATTTTGGTAGGAGCCCCCGATAAGAATATCATATAAAGGTGTGGGGCGGGGACGTCGCCTCGTAGCCAAATCAAATGGTATTTCATTGATTCACTCTGAAGTTAAATCTTCATCCTAAATCCCAACAAGTAGCCTGAGCCTTAACCCAAATCCCAAATCACATCCGTACTACTACTTTAGCTCACATTAATTTTGATTCATTGTTGAAGGGGGAAGTCCATCCTGGTATTAAGTTTATTTCTTGAATACTAGTAATAGAGGCAGAAAAACTTGAGAAACTGCTCAATGAAAGTTTGACCAGATTCCGATTGAAAATTAAAAATTAAAAAGGCGGCATTGAATTTGAATCCAGAAGTTAGGAAAACCATTAATCGCAAAAAAAGAAAATTTTCTTTTTATTGCTTTTGTTGTTTGCCCCGATGAGACATGAGAAAATGTAAGATATACATTTTATATGTTTATTTATTTTAAAGGTTCAGTTTAGTTCAGTTCAGTTTATTTTATTTTTGCACGGCACCAACTTCAGCCAAAGGCTGTTCTTCTGTAGGACCGTGTTCAATAAAAGCTTCTGAGGTGGAAATTCATTAAAAAAACTTACCAACCAATGATGATTAATGTCCCTTATTCATTCAAATTTATATAGATTTTTTTATTTTGAAACTTTCAAATTTCAAAAAAGGAGGGATGCTACAATTAAATTACTAATAGATCGATCTAAAAAATAAAAAAAACACAAATCGATCATACATTTTGATTTTTTTTTTTTTTTTTTTTTTTGAGCGAGAAAGTAGAGCCTTTTTTCCTTTGAGAATTATGAAAAAAATAATGGCATCATGCGCTATTATTAAAAATTTGTTTTCAAAAATGTTTTTTGTCTGACCTTGAATTTCATTCACTAGCCTATAACATTTGTTGTCAAGATTCATTATCTATTGGAAAGTTACCCATAATATTTAAATTCTTATATTTATCTTTATTTGCTCTAAAGAGTTTAATTGTATAATGCAATGTACTAAACATGTATCTGCATTCAGTGAAAAATTGTGTAATGTTGGCAGGGGCGACAGTTTGTTCTTCAGACCCCAATTTGGTATTGAAAATTATTAAAATGACTAGGTAAAAGGAGAAAACAGTCAGTCCGCAAGCCCGAAAAAAAACACGTCTAGTTTATCCCAGTCTTCGCGAGCGTGACCCCGATTTGACCTCAGAAGTCGCAAATGAAAACGCGTTTTGAAATGCTCGTAGCTCCGTTTTAAAATGAGATTTTCAAAAGATTGTTTTTGTTTTGAAAGTTAAAAAGTTAAAATCACGGAAATGTCATCTTTATTTTTTCAAAAAAGAGGAGGAAAAATATGAAATCAGTAGTTGGAACGGTGATTTTTTTTTGGAAATTTGAAGATTTGATTTTCGTCTTAAAATGGAGGGCAGCATGAAGAAGATAATAGGGCTCAGTTGCCTGATTTTAATCGGATGCATCCGGACGCATCCGATTAAACGGCCACTATGAACGGTACAGAGGAGAAAAAGCAGATAAAATAGCCGATGACAACAAGAGAAATAGGAGATAAACTTCTCCTGCCCAAGAGCAGGAGAAATTCTCTTTATATCGATGTGACTCCGTTAAAAAAGGCCACTTTGAAATGGTTCGGGAGAAAACACCAATGGACATGGTCAAAGGTCGTTATCTTGTTCCGGCTGAAGCTAGTGTAAGAAAAGGGGTCAGGGCTTTATTTCGCCAAAAATTAACAAGGAACACGACAGCAGGCTCTTTCGAAAAATAAACCTTGGGCAATTTCAAAAGCCTTCTGCGTCACCCATTGATAACGACGTATTACGTAATCCAAACACGATTTGTTAACATGCCCCATCTTCTTGACCAGAAAATTTTCGATTCATCCACCCGTCCCCCTCCATGCACCTCCCTTATATACACCACCTCCCTTACACCAGTCGCGGATCTAGGATTTCTTGGGGGGGGGGGATTTGAAATCCTGCAAGCCAAATATTGTAAGGCCTACGTAACGGTGACCAGCAGTGGCGTAATGAGCAAAAACTTTTTTTTTGGGGGGGGGGGGGCCGGGGGTAGAAGAAAAATCCGCATCACCACCACTCTGACATGCAGGCCCCGCTGAACACTTTTCAAAGTGGGAGGGGGGGGGGGGGCTAAAGTATTTAAGATCAGGTAGAACGTAGCGTAAATTGGCGTGGGATCTAGAGGGCAAAGCCCCGGTGGGGGCCAAGGGGCGGAGCCCCCTGAAGCTCAGGGAGTATGGGCATTTGATTATGATCAGATGAGCATATTTTGATACCTTATTCATGACACTGGCAGGAAACTAATTGGCGTGGGGTCCATGGGGCTGAGCCCCATGAAACTCAGGGATTTTCGGCATTTTACAAATACTGTTCTTTCCACTGATACCAATTTTGAACTGATTTATAGACTGGAAAATAGGGCCTTTTCGTCTTCAAAAATGGACAACAATCATTCAATTT